AAGAGAGTTATTGGAAAAGTGAAGTTTTATGCAAATGGAAATATTGCTTTTGCATTTCTAACCATAAATGGTATCAAGACTTGGACAAAGCTTCAAATATTTGTGTAATACACTTAGGGTTTGTGTAATTGCTTGATTATGCGTAGATTTGGAGAGAAAATAGCCTGAAAAGGGAGATCTTGTATCCTTGTTTGGGGTTTTGGTTGTGTGTTCATCATCAAAATGACTTGTAATTCAAGAATGGATACCCAACTTCTTCTCTTTGATTTTATTAGCTCAAAAATGATCTCTTCAAGCTCTTGGAAATTTTGGAAAGCTTGAAACATCCTCTACAATTTTTATGTTTTCCACTTTTCCAAAATCCAATTGGAACTATGTGAAAAATGGCCAAGAAGTTGGGACAAAAATCTGCTTAAACTAGGTCAAAATTTCACCAAGTGTTAAAGAAAAAGTGCATGACTTCATGGGCCTATAACTCAAAATCTAAGAATTTTTTGGATATGAGCCCTCTAAAATAAAGTTGTAGATCTCATCAAGATATACAACTCTCATGTTGAAAGTTTCCTTTGAATTATCTTGCATCTTGGTGAAAATTGGCATGAAGTAGCGAAATTATCATGTACAAAAACACTTAGAAAAATTGAAAAGTTTGACTTTTTAAATTGACTTTTGACTTTCTTGATTTCTTGATGATAAAGCTTCATATTTTTGAATGTCTTGATGAATTTTGATCTTTGAGACTCAATGTTGACCAAAAAATCAAAGTGTGACTTTTGGTGTATTAGTTGACTTTTTCATCAGTTGACCAAATTTCATCTGTCAATTGTTTGATCTTGAGGAATAATTTGAATAATGATATTAGGTAAAGATAATGTGATTTAATCCTTGATACCATGTTTTAAACCAATAAGTCATGTATTAGGTCAAAAGTCCAAAATCAGTCATTCTCAATTAAAACCCTAATTTTGACCATTTCCCCCTTTGATGATTTGAACACTTTTCTTGAGGAATTGTGATCCAAACTTGAAAAATTGATGAATATGAGTTAAAAATGTTGATATTAGTCAAAAATCTTGAATTTTTACTGTAAGTTGACCATAGTTGACTTTTTATCTAATACAGTTAATTTTCAATCATCTGATCAATTGACTGAGCAAAATTGTGATCCAAAACTTGAAACTTAGCATGAGTGTTCTTTGAGTTCTATAATGAACCATGAAATTAATTTGAGGAAATAGAAGTCCAATTGTCCCTGTGAAAATCAAAACCCTTTGAGGCATCAGTGTTTAGGAGGTGATTTGACCTAGTCAACATTTGTGCAATCTTGAGCTATTGAAGATCTTTATGAGAAGTGTCTTGAGAAAAGAGAGGGGAAATTTTGGGGTACAAAAGACTGGAATAACTCACAATATATGACTCAAATCAAATAAAAAAGAAGAGAGCAAGAAGATTCTAGTGTGTGTGACTCAAATTATAGTTTACACATGATTCAATTCATGCAACACTATGACTCGAATCACAAATTTCACATGAATCGAATCACACAGGTCATGTTAGCCACTGCCTCGTTTAATTCAAAACTCACTTTCTACATGACTCGAATCACAAAGTTTTTCATTTTTTATTGCTTTATTCTGAATAATTTGATTCAAATCAAGCTTTTTACATGACTGAAATCATGATCATTCATGACTCGAATCAGAGTTACAACATGACTCAAATCACAGGAAATGAGTCACTTTTCTTTATGTTGATCTTGTTCCACTCTACTTGCTCATTTGACTCAAATCACAAATACACTTGACTTGAATCTAACAACCATTTTTTACCTATTTTTATGCATAATCTTCAACACATATTTTTGTCACCGCATTCTTTAACAAGCAATCTCACTACTAAGGGTGATTTTGTGAAATCAACAACCTCCATTTTTGAAAACTCAAAATCTCTTGCAAATAAAATTTCTTTCATCTTCAACCTCTAGTTTGATTCCAGATCTTGATTATGGAGATTTGTAATTTTTGAGTGAGAAGTGTATTGAAACTAGAACTTCTTGAAGGTTTGATAAATATTTTCAGAAAAGTTGCAATATTGTGGCTGTTGTGATTGGGGTGATAAATTCCAGTGAAAAGAAGGTTTTCTCTCTAAATTGACCTTGGTAGTGCTATGTGGAAGCCTACAGACATGGTAGGAGTTCTTCTCAATCTTTGGATAGTTCATCTCTTAAGAAATAAGTGAAATCAAGGGTGATTGTCACACACGAAGACTTGAAGCAGATTGGTGAAGCTGGAAGATTCAAGAAGCGAGAAACAAGTAAAGATATTGCAGAGAGTTCGGTGTAAAGGTTGTATACAAGTCAAGATCTAGGTAAGAGATTTATTTTTCTTAGCATTATTATGGATTAGTGATTATATGAACTCGTGTAATTTTTGGCAAACCATATTGTAAGATGTACTTTCAATGGAAAATGATTGGAGAGTGTAGTAGACCCAAGCAAGCGATAGAGCCTAACCACTATACATCCCAGTGTACTCTTTCTGTCTTACATTTTAATTTTCATAGATTATTGCATGTTTAGGTAATTATTATTTTTTTTGTGTAATTATCGTCAATTTCTATTGGTAGCAATTTATAACATAAGTTTAGGTTTTGTTAGGATTAGAACCTATTTGTATTTTAGTGCTGATTAAAATCTACAAATTAACAATGTTAGAATTCTGTAGCAATTGTTGGTTTGTAAAGAAAACATCTCATGTAATTTATGAATTGTCGATAATTATAGTTTGTAACTCTTTGGATATAATCTCCCATCAATCTGAAATATTTGTGTATTTATATTCATGATTGATTTCCAATTAAAGCATACGATCTTTATTTTTTTACTTTAAGACTCCCGTATTAAAAAACTCTGATATCTCATTTTGAAAATTGGTCAATTTTAAAAAGGGTCTATTTACTTCCTCTATACCATTCATCTACTCTATACCATTCATCTACTCCATATTCCTACCTAACAATTCTTGTCTATGTTGATGATTTATCCTTGTAGGTAATAATATTTTAGAAATACACAACATTAATTATGTTTTAGATATTAACTTCGGCATCAAAGATTTAGGGAACCTCAAGTAATTTCTTAGTTTTGAGATGGTCATATCCTTCCAAAGAATCTCTCTTTGCAAAGTAAAGTACACACTTGGCACATGGGTTCACCCCATGAACCCCAATCACCAACTGCACAATAAAGCTGCTGAAATTCTTCCCGATCCAACAACATTCGGGAGAATAACTCGTAAGCTTTTGTACTTAACTAGTTCTCGCCATGATATTACTTGAATAATCCACCAGCTTTTGGATTATTTTTCAAATAACATTCCAAGATCAGCTTAACAAGTTTCATCAATTTTGGTTGGGGGACCTGTATAACAATAAGGAGATCAACAATTGGTTTTTTCTTTTACCTTGACACCTCCACTCATCATCTGGAAAAGTAAGAAACAACAAGTTATTTCTCAATTCTTTTGTTCTGTGGCAACCGCATCGCCATCTATATAGCAACCAACCTTATTTTATAATGAGAAAGATGATATATCAATACCATATGTTGACAAATTCTGATATGAAGTTACGAAGGCCCATTAGGAAGAAGAAATAATCCACACTTCTTAAGGATTTTTATTATTAATTGGGGGTGCAATTATATCTTCTATTTTAATTATATTTTGTGGACTTGTCTTTTGTTGGCCCATGGCCCATTTTATTTTTAAAAACCCTATTATATATTGTATGTTCTTGCTTGTTGAAGGTTAATGAAAATCTGAAGTTGTTTCTTATGCCTTATCTCTTTATGCAACCCTAGATCTAGATTTAGCCTTAGTGTAGTCTAACATTTGGTTCTCTCATTGAGTGGTCTCAACCACGTTCGCTTACAGATCTTCGTGGTTTTTTGGGACTTAATGGGTTCTATCATTGGTTTGTTTGCAATTATGCCTCACTCACTGCTCCCCTCACCAGTTTGTTGTGTTCCACTAAGTTTACATGGAGTACATCAGCGGCCGTAGCCTTTAGAGAATTGAAACATAAAATGACCGACATGCCAGTCTTGGCTATACCAAATTTTACAAAGACATTTATCATCGAAATTGATGCGTCCATAGTTGCCATTGGTGTTGTTCTATCTCAAGGGGGTCATCCCATCACTTTCTTTAGAAACAAAATGTGTCCTCATATGCAAGCTTCCTCTGTCTACGTACGTGAGATGTTTGGTGTAACAGAGGCCATAAAAAATGGCGTCAGTATTTAATCAGTCAATAATTTCACATTTACACCGATTAAAAGAGCCTAAGAAATCTATTACTTCAGAAAATTCAAACGCCAGAACAACAAAAATGGGCAGTAAAGTTGCAAGGTTATAATTTTGAGATTTTTTACAAACCTAGAAAGTCTAATTTGGTTGCTGATGCCTTAAGTAAAAAATTCCACTCGGACGACTCGTTGTTGTTAGCTTTGTCCTCCCCTATTCCATACCTTTTAACGACACTGCATGAAAGAACACCACAGGTCAAAAACTGGTCGAGTAAACCATTCTTAACAACATTGATCACAAGCTTTACAAATTCTCTAAGGGAATATTATACTATAAAGATCGTTTGTTCATACCTGAGTTAGACGACCTTTGTAAAAGCATTCTCCAAGAATATCATGACACACCTACTGCTGGCCATTCTAGAGTAAAAGCTACCCTTCTTTAGAAATACAGTACAACATACCACTCGGAAACTGATGGTCAGACTGAAGTTGTGAATCCTTCTTTAGAAATGTACCTTCGTTGTTTCACGAGTCATCAGCCTCATCAATGGTTCAAATTTCTCCACTTAGCTGAGTTCTGGTTTAACACTTCGTTTCACACTGTAATCCAAATGACACCTTTTAAGGCCCTCTACGGTCGTGACCCTCCAACGATCCCAAACTACTTAGCTAACTCTGTTTCTGATGCATCTTTAAATGATTCTCTACAACAGAAGCATGATATCATACAACAGTTAAAAGAAAATCTCAAAAAGAGTGGTACCCAAATGGAAAAACAAGCAAATTTAAATCGGATGCACTTTACCTTCAAGGAAGGTGATTTAGTTCTCCTCCGATTACAACCATATCGTCAAAACATCATTATGAAGCGCACATCGCAGAAGCTTTCTAACAGATTCTTTGGGCCTCTCAAAGTTATCAAGCGGGTTGAAGAAGTTGCGTATTTACTGGATCTCCCGTCTTCCTCGCGTGTTCATCCAGTGATTCATGTTTCCGTGTTGAAACCATATTACGGCAACAACATGCAGACAAATTTCCGACATCTTCCTACTAATCAACCGTTGGTCTTGATGGAACCTGAAAGTTACACAACAAAGTCTGTTAGTAATGGTCACATGCATCACAAAATGAAGCCTTTGGAGAGCGAAGCTGCGTTTCCCGTTGGTTACTTACCCATGGAAGGAAAATACAATGACACTGAAAGAAGGAACAAAAAGACTGCTGCAAGTGTGGTTTCAGTTTGCAAGCCACCGAAGTCTCCTGAAGTGCTAGCAAGTACATCTTATAAGGACTTACTCTCCACTACCTCTTCTCACTCTTCACGTGATGTTGTTCTTTTGGCGGTCCCCACTAAAAATACCGCGACTGTTTCTACCCCTGACACGTGTCCCACTCAATTTTACCCTAATTCTCTCCAATCTCTCTCCAGACTCGACCCACTTCCACCTATTGATTCAAGCCTAATTTATTCAAGCCCATTTGCTACACCTATGAACCTTGAGGGCAAGATTCCTTTTGGGTCCCATAGTATTGATATGAAGTTACGAAGGCCCATTAGACAGAAGAAAGAATCCATACTTCTTAAGGATTTTTATTATTAATTGGGGGTGCAATTAGATCTTCTGTTTTAATTATATTTTATGGACTTGTCTTTTGTTGGCCCATGACCCATTTTATTTTTAGAAACCCTATTATATAATGAAAATCTGAAATTATTTCTTATACCTTACCTCTTTATGCAACCCTAAATCTAGATTTAGCCTCAAAATAGTCTAACAAATTCACATAATATGAGTGAGTTCAGTGCTATAGAACTAGCAAATACAAAACAAAACAAACTGCAGCAATATCATTTAGTTTATTGAAAAATTGAATGAAATAAATGTGTTAGAAAATTTACATGTCTGTCAAACTCCTACACATTATGCACACAAAGCAATAAATCATCACATTATTTCTGCTCAATCAAGAGCAGCCACACCAAAACACAGAATTTACATCAAAAGTTTTATTCTCGCCCCAACTATTCAGTGCTTTCATAAGTCACTAATTTAGGGTCTTAAATTCAAACATGCACACAAAATCACAAAATTCAAACACACATAACAACAGCTTCTCACTGAACTGTTATTTTTTAGCAGAACTAAAAGAAGATTCATTCAACATTTCCAGCAAGAAACTGCAACAATAGGCTTTGATTTCCATCCAAGAACCAAACACCCTTTCTCTTCCACAACAATATATCCATCACAAACCTTATTCTTCAAAAGCCATTGTTTAGCTTGAACCACCATCTTAATAGGCGAACCTTGAAATCCAGCCCTACTCATTCTCCTCCTCCATTGATCAACTTTCTCATGCCTCTCCATCCTCAATGGTCCTTCACAGCTCACAATGTTCTTTATCTCCTCAGCAAAATAAAACTGCTCCATTTTTGCTCTTTTTGTATCATATTTTGGTAGCATAGCATCCAATGAGTCAAAAATAGCAGAATAATAATGCAATGATTCCATAAACCTACCAAGAAAAAAAGGTCCATTGTGACCTGAATCTTGCTCAACCATCACCAACACTTTCGGAGAAAGACCGTGGATCATTTGTAGAACCGAATTCAACGCGCCACGGCTCTCTTTAACAACACAATGCAATTGAAGAATGCTGTTAACCACAAGAACCTCTTTTTCATTCACTTTTATATCTTCAGGTTTCAGATTCTCCAAATTCTTCTCCACAATTGAGAATTCCAAATGAATCCCCAAGTTTTTCGCGTAAATGGAGAGTTCTTCACCAATGACTTGGATTCTAGCAATGCATAGACCGACCGCCGTGATCCTAAGCCGACGAAGAACACGTTGGCTACCAGATCGATTCGCGAGACTTTGAATTAGTCCTCGCCATTGGTGTCCGTGTGGTAGACCTAGACTTACGCCTAGGTCAACCACATGAACAAAACTCTCACCCTCAAAGGCTTCCAGTATTATGGAATTAGCCACAAAATGTCCAAACTGAATATGTGGACATATCTCATAAACCAACTTGAATGCTTCTTCCATTTCTTCTGATGCTGCATCCATTATGTTCATCATCGATTTCCCATCCAATCCAACAGAATTGTTGCCAATTGGTTGAATCAAAGTTAGTCTCTCTATTAATCCTTGAACAAAACAAGAAGCAACTCTCTGGAACGACGATCCAAACACCAAAGCATTCGATTTAAGTTCAGACAACAAAACCGAAGCGTGCGATTTGTCGCGACACGCCACCGCTTCAGCACATGCAATCAGAAGCTGAACTAGTCTCATTCCATCAGCACATGAACCATCTTCTTCAGCTTCACAGTTATTGTAGTTGAAACTCTCTTCTGCTGCTTCTTCAACAGCTTCAGCAGCAAAATATCTTTGCTTATAAGTCCTTATGTGATCTCTAAAATGAAGCCTTGGAATGCTACTCACACTGTTGCTACTGTTTATACTGTTGAAGAAACTATTACTATGGCTGCTGAAATTCGCAAACCAAATAGGGATAGTAACAGTTGATCTTTTCACCTTCTTGTGATCCCTAATGGTTTCAGTTTCATGATCAGGAAAAGGAAGAATCCATGATGAACTAGCACTGTTTTCCAAAATAGGTAAATTTGGACATAAAGAAGCATAACAACCCATTAATGGATTTTCATCATTCTCAAGATACTCTACCTCGTTTTTGAAGGTAGTAGTAACGGGATAATAAAGTGAAGGTGACATGATGATTTCTCAATATGAATGTCTCTAACACTTTGATTATAGTTTTGCTTTCTAAAGATTTTCAACAAAGCACTGAAAGAACGTACCTAGAAATGATCAAAATATTTATAGGAAAGAAGAAAGCGTGAACTTCAAGGTTTGCATTATTATATGATTTACGTTACATACGCTGTCAACTTCTCTTGTTGAATTACTATAGCAAAGCAAAGTTTAATACTCCTAATTAGGTTTCTTGAAAACATTGTTTTCATTCCAAGCAATTGGGAATTTTATAAACGGCTTGCAGAGTTAATTAGGTGACATGATGATTTAGTAACATTGTTTATTTTTGTTGCTGTCTACGTTGGCATGGTCTGAGAGAAAACCGCGTCCAACAGGATTTTTGTGGGTGTAATTTCTGGTTTTGTGACGTAATATCTATTGATGTACGTAGGTTTTTATGAATTGATTAATTATGTAAGCCCTTATGTCATTCAAGACCCAGAGAAAAAATTTAAAAACTTTTAGAAAAGTATACGGCACCTCCATAGGGTAACATGGCCAAGGAGACACAACTAGAAGTTAGTATTGATAGAATTTGTGAAAGCATTTTGCTTGAATGGTTAAGCTCTACTCTACAATGCATTGCACTCCTTTTATATAAGGTTTGTATGGTGATGCATGGATGTGCATGAACTTCCTAGTCATGCATTCTACTTGCATAGTTCTTTCATATTATCATGCACACATATATTACTCTACATACATTTATGATATTCTACATACAACACCCATATATATTTCTCCTCATACTCTCTCACATGCTCAAGGAGGGTGATATGAGATGACTTTGAGCTTGATTCACAAATCTTGATAGGTTGCAGTACCAAGGGGTTTGGATAGTGTGTATGTAACTTCAACACTATTACAGGGACATGTTAAATCTTCAATGTCTTGACAATGACCCGTTCACAAATAAAGTATATGTTCAATTAATGTATTTGGTTCTAGCATGGAGGATTGGTGTAATACGGTGGGAGAATTGACTTGGTTGTTTTGCGTTTGATCGCAATTGTTACAGATAGCAAGAATCGTCACCGACTTTTCTTTTATCCAATAAGGAAAGGGTGAAAAAAACAGGAAAGACATTTGAGATATTTTCTTGAGTTCGGGGGGTAGGTTATGAAAAGGGAATGTGTTAGTACCATTTTCATCTGTAGTTATCTACGAGCTCTTAGTTGCTTGTTAGATCACTTTTGAAATTGTTTTGTTTGAAATGTGTTTGTGGTGGATTTTGAAAATATTTTGGAAAACCACATTCGTTTAGGCAAACTTTGTAATGATTCTCGTCTCTATAAGAGTGTATACAAAGTGTTGGACTTTTTGAAAATATTTCATGTTTTTGAAAGTGTTTAGTGTGTTTGAAAAAATGTTTGTTTTTGAAGATGGATTGTGAGCAAGCAACTAAGAACGTTCTACCTACTCAAAAGTATTTTGTTCATTTCTCTCTTCCTTTGACATTGTTATCACACCATTGATTGGTAAGTAACCTTATCTTTGGATGTAAAGGGACAGGCGCGGGTCATCGTATAGTCATAAGATGCAATGTTGTGAGATACTTTAGCATATTTCTTAAGGGTCCAAGATCATTTGTAAGGTAACATTCGAAGCGTCATCGAGGGACTATGATCTTGTATTTTTTATTGTTCTTTGCTAAGACGTCTCACATGCATAACATGACCCTTTTTAAGACAACAAAGTGGAGTAAACCCTAGAGGTGCAAAGTGTGCAAGTGTTTGTATTTCATGCTTGGTTTATCTTGGATTAGGGTTTTCTAAACATTGATTTATCTTTCCATACAAACCCTAAATTACTAGCATTTATATGAAAGCGATAAATTATGGAAAGTAAATATCCTACGCTATTACATCATTTTGAGATGGGCGTACAAATTTACAAATGGGAATTGCAAGAAATTAAACCTAATTATCTATTACAACCATATTGAACTTGAATAATGTACAAGAATTGAAATGTATATAATGTACAAGACATGAATGAAAGGAAAATGAATTTGTTTTGATTTTGTTTAAGAAAATATTTTAACCTAATTTTCTATAAAAAAAATAAATAGTTAGAAGTAAGAAAATTAAGCTAAGTTAATTTTAATTTAAACAAAGAGAATGAACTAACTCTAAGTTTAATATTAAGTTAAAGAAAAGAAGTTAAATAGGAAAATATTTTTGGTCTTTTTTATTTTAAGTAAAAACAAACTAAATAATTTAAATATTTAATATAATACATTTTTGGTATTTTTTAATTAAAAAAGAAAATAATAATAATACTAAAAATAATAAAGGAAAGAAAATAAAAAAATAAAAAATATAAAATTAAAGTTATGGGGTTTAGGAAGTGGAAAGGGGAAAAGCCCAGAAGTTCTGGTCCAGGCGCGCTACTAACAAGTAAATTGGATGAATGATGTTGGAAGTAGAAAATGAGAAGGCCTAGAAGTTCAGGCCCAGGCGTGCTGCTAACAAGTATATGGAGGGGGTGATGCTGGAAGCAAAAATGAGAAGACCTAGAAGTTCTGGCCCGGGCGCGTTGTTAACAAATATATGAAGGGGTGATGTTGGAAGCAAAAATTAGAAGGTTTGGAAGTTCTGGCCCAGGCATGCTGTTAACAGGTAAATGGGATAAAATGTTAAGAAATAAAAACAAAAAGGTGCTCCTGGGGATAGAACCTAGGACCTTTAACACTAATGCCTTACGCGCGCGCTCTCTACCAGTGGGGTGGCTATACATCTGGTATTATAAACAAAACAATAAATATGTATTACAAAATCATTTCTGATGA